AAAGATTAAAAAAAAATCACACCTGAAGTAAGCAAACTATCCAAAGTATAGGCCCATCTTTGAGTAAACATACCCATATAATCAAGTGCCTAATGTGGAACCTTCTCAATACCTTGATAAGATCCAAACACACCTAGCACACCTAATGTGATCATGATCTTCCTCAAAAATTCAACTGGCCCTCATCAAAACATCCAGTGTTAGCTCAATGAATAGCACTACCACTCTTCCACATTATGTAAGCAGAAATCTCGAGCCACCCATGAAACCATCCTTCTCTCTCAGTGCACATAGCTAACAGACCATCAAATCTCAATGATCCGACCTTCAAACTTCTGATCATCTCCAGCACACCTCAGTCCAACTGGTCTCCTCTTACTAGGGCTGTTGCAGTTGCCTACTCTTATTTCTAATCTTAATTTACATTGCACCAGAAGTATTTTTTTAAACTCAAAGTAGTATTATTCCATTCCCTCTACCTTTACAGCCCCCACACACCCACTTAAAATCCCTCAGTGGCTTAGGAGAAAAGTAACTCTTAACCTGACTACTAAACCAGTACTATATCCATCTTGGTCATTCCTATTACTGCCACATTGACTCCTTACAGCCTTGTAAATATTTCATGCTCCTTCCTACCACAGGATCTTTATATTTGAATTTCCTTTCTTCTTTCCCTTAGGTAACTTCTACTTATTCTTGGACTCTTAGCTCAACTGCCCCAGCCTTCCCTACTTTAGATTCTCATAGCACATGGCTACATTTCATTCATCTGAATAATGAGTTAATATCTATCCCTCCTTTGGAACTGACCCATTAAAACAAGGACCGTGTTTTACTCACAATTGTAATTCCTATATTGATTCCTCATACCTGACCTATTGCAGCTACTCAAACCTAATGTAATTATATTAGATTCATAACTGAATTTTTAAAATAATGAGTTTAGAAGCAGATACATAAAGGGGATAATTAAGAGGTTATCTCAGCAGTAGAAACCTGAATTTTAATTGTTAGGTGTGCAGAATGTTTCCAGTATGAGTAAACATAAGCCCACTAAGTATATACACACATATATATGAAACGTAGGCTCCAGTAGGTTTTAAAAAAATCATCTTGGGACGTTTACGATGTCTAAGAAACATTCAAATCCAAATAGAGTATACTCTATCAGAAGACAATGATTCTACAGAAGTCGAAAGAACTGAGTATAAAAAGAGAAGTGTCAGTAATGTTAACTGCGGAAGACAGGTCAAATGACATAAAAATTGGAACTGATCAGTGCAGGTAGCAATCAGTTAAGTAGTGACAAAAATGTAACTATGGTGGAGTGATAAGTGACAGAAGGGAAGGAACTGAAAAAAGGACTATTTTCCCACGAAGTCTGAATGTAAATGAAATGAAGGAGTAGGAGGGACACAGACTAGGAGTTGGGAGACAGGAAGCATTGCTTGCTAAATAAGCAAAATTTTTAGAATGAAAAACATGAGAGGAGGGAAAAATCTGACCGAGCATGGTCTAAATGAGTCATGAGGGATTTTTATCTTAACCAGCAAAAAAAAAAAAAAAAAAAAACAAAGGAACAAAGAACCTTAGATTTGAAAAGAGGCTTTCTTTCTCAGGAAAGGAAGCATGGATGTGTGCAGACAGAGAAGGAAGCTCATAGGAAAGGCTTGTATACTTTCTTTTAAAAAAAAAAAAAAAAAAAAAACTTTTATCCTGTGGGCACCAGATACCTGACAACTTATAAGGAATGAAGTAATAAAGGAAATTGTTTTGGTTTTTTTTCTTGGGGGGGGGGAGGAGAAGTCCCAGAAGCTTGATAAGAGAGCTTCTGGAACCACCTGAAAACATCCTAAATATCTGGAAGAGCAGGAGTATTCTACACCCTCCCTTGTGTTTCTTAGTAATGAGCTGCTATTCAATCTTGGGCTGGTTGACAGTGACACCACAGGTATGGTTGATTCCTCCGTTTTTCCTTTATTACCTCCAACACAATCATTTTTGTCTATTTTCCTCCTGTTATTATTAGAATTCATTTTCTAGGCTTTCTTCTTCCAGCTCTCCTCCAAAACTGGAAAAATAAATGGTTGCCTAATACAAAGAAACTCTGTAATGTAAAAATACTTTAAAGACAAAAAATTCACATAAAATAGCAAATTTCAAATCTGAATTCTAGATCAAGTTACTGCCATGATTTAAACAGAATTTAAAGAAAATTAGCTAAAGCAGCAAAAGAACTACTTAAGAGTTCTTCATTTCTGGGTGGGGCATGATAATCCCTGCTGTGAAGAGACAGAGGTAGAAAGATCAGTCTAAGGCTGGTCAGGGCAAAAAGGTGAGACCTAGCCCCCCAAAAAAAAAACTAAAACAAAAAAGAGCTGAGGTGCTCAAGTGGTAGAGCACCTGCCTAGCAAAAAGGTGGCCCTGTATCAATACTGTCAAAAATGTTTATATAATTATAAAGACACTTTTGTATACTGTATGCTAATTATTACTAGAAAGAATTTGTTTAATAAAACGCTGAGGTATGCAAAAAACATACTAAATTCTAGTATCTTCAAAATCGTGCAAAGTGCTGAAAATTCATACTAGGATAATACTGTGCACATATTAAAAAAAAAAATCATCCAATCTCAGAATGATTACTTAACCATTCCCTCCTGGAACCACCATCTTATTCAAACGTAGCATCAAAGTAATTGAAATAAACCTACTAGATGACAGAAGAATTCTGAAAAACTAACTTGTAACAGACCTTCACTTTAGGAGTGATTTAAGAAAAGTCATGATTTTGGTATCTTTGACCTAACTGCAGATTCTACATCACTTAAGTGTTGGAGCTATGCATTTAAATACAGAAGTTTCCACCACAGCTATTTACTCTTAAAAGAGTAACATTAAAAGAAAGGAAGGAGAAGCCAAACACCAAATGTCAACTCCCTCATCCTACCCCTTCTCCCCTAATCCTCCCCACTTACCCCACCTCTAAGCACAAGCCTTTAAACAAAGTATCGGGCATTTATAAGCCAGGCATGCTCTCACTTCACATTGCCCAACTTTCCCCAGCAATTGAAAAGAAACTCTTCCCTGAAGGTTTTCTAAAAGGGGAGTTGAGGGGACAGCGGCTTCCTTCCTCAGACATGGTTGTGCCTCCATTACATCATTTACATGCCTTTTCTGCCTCCCTCACTGGTCTTGGAATTATTACTTTTATTAATAACATAAGAACCACCTGATGAATAATTATTGCTATAATTCAATACCCAACATAGGGAAAAAACACGTACAAATTACTGTGTAGTTTTGGGGTTGGTTTTTTTAAGCCTGTCTCCAAATCTATGAAACAAGATTCTTGTCTGTTTTTTTTTTTTTTTCCTAAACTTACATCTCCACTATTATTAGTCTCTTACTATGACAACAATACAATTTCCCTAGGAAGAAATCCTTCAAACTCTGTGGGCATTTCCTGGGCTAAAATTACATTTTAAAAACCTACTTTCAAAGATTTCTAAGTCCCTAATGGCAATTCACATGTGGTTATGCAGCAGAGAAAAATTGAGTCTGTAAAGTCTGCCTATCAAAAGGTAGAGCCAAACAATTCCTGGAAAAAAAAAAAACCCATAAACGTTTACTTTAAATTCCTTCGCTAAGATAATAGCTACTTCGGTACAAATAATTTCATGATTCTGTGAGGGTCTGTCCCATCCTCAATCAAAAATATGTAAAATTTGCTGCAAGAAAACGCACTTAATGCACCTAAAAATATTTCAAAATACTGCCTTAAAGCCAAATCCTTATCCAACAAGCAATTCACTTTATGTTTCCATTCAGAGAAACCACTGCACTAAAATGCCTGCAAAGCAAATATTACTCTCTTAATACCAAACACAGTGTTTCTTAAATTCCTAAAGCTATTTAAGTTTTTTCCTACGGAAAACAATCTAGCTGTTTTTCTTTTGAACTCAGCCTTACACAATAAAACTGTTCTTTTTCTTTTAGCTCTGGGATTGCTGTGAAACTCACAAAAATTGTTCCTACTCATAGTTCCTGAAATTAAGATCCAAGATACTGGCTTTCGAAAGGAGGTTCACTTTGAACTGTGCGAAGTGAGAGGCTGGCTCCTTCTCACTGAAGATTTCACACTCTACGACTATTCCTTTAAAAGCGGCTCCGTTTAAGTTTCTTCCCCGAAGTAGCCTGTATTCAACAAGGATCACGAAGCCACCCTTATCGTTTATCACAGGCAGCGCTCCAAAATCAACAGAGTTGCAGAGCTAGGTGACACCGTATCGGCTTTCTCAAGCGCGCTGGGAAAGCGCAACCCTAGAGCAGGAATCGCCCAGGGAGCCAGGGGGAGCCCGAGCGGCCGCCAGTCCCAGTATACGGACAGCGAGCCGGGGACAGCGGGGCTACTGACCACAGTCACCCATCCTCAGACTGACGCAGGCTTCCGGCCGCGCGCCTGGGGCCCTGCCAGGATACCGGGTCACTCGCGGCCGGACACTACGCAGGACTCCCTAAAAGAGGGCCGAGGCCACCACACCCGACCCAAACCCTCCACTCCGCGCGGGTCGGGCCTCCCCACAGCCGACACTCCCAAACAGGAGCGCGCCACTTGCAGACCCCTTTGCGCCGCATCCCGGAGCCACGCTCCCAGCCACCGCCCGCCGCGTCCCGGACACGCTGCGGCTCAGAGCAAGGACGGGGCGCAGGCGGGCGGGCCCCCACGGCGCCCCCGCGGGCCGCAAAATGGCGGCGGCGGCGCTGGGCCGAACCTCCCGCCGCGCTGGGCCGGTGCCCTCCTCTCCGCCTCGCCCGGGCCGGCGCGCACCCGGGCACAGAGGCGCTGGCGGCGAGGGCGCGCCGACCGAGGGAAGCAGCAAGGCCGCCACCCGGACGCAAAGCGCCGGCGTGGGGGAGGGGCTGCCGCGGGACCCGACCGGCCCTCTAGACCGCCGTTCTCCCGCCCGCTCGGAAGGCTTCCTCCGCCGGCCTACCTTTGAATTTGAGGTCTGTGGGCGGGTCGAGGACCAAGATCTGCTCGTACTTCGCCATGGCCCCGGAGGCGGACGCCATCTGAGACAGCGCAGAGCGGGGGCGCGCCCGCGGCGGCGGTTCGCTGGCGGGGGCGGACGATGGCAGCGGCGTCAACACGGCCGAACTCTAGGACGGGGCCAGGCTCGCGGCTCCCGGGCCTCCACGCCTCCGCTCTGCCGCGGGTTCAGTGGGCCGCCAGCGGGTCAGCAGCTCCGAGTGTCACAACTGACTCAACCCAACACCAGCCGCTGCGGCCACGCGCACTGCGATCCTCGGCGTCCCACGTGACGGGCTCTGCGTGTGTACGTGCGCGCCCCTGCGGCCGGGAGCCCCCGCCCGCGAGGCCTGACCTGCGCGACGCGTCCCTTGTGCGCCTGCGCACTGCCGGGCTAGCCACCACTCAGAATGCAGTTTTGCTGTGAAGGGAACGGGCGTGAACAGGGGGCGGAACAGAGTTCCGTGTGACCGGTGCGGTGAACAGCGCCGGGCAAAAGGCGTGGTCTTCCGTCACGACGAGCTCCGAGCGCGAACGTGGAAACCCTACTACCGTGGCGCATCACGGTGTTCCAAGTGGGGATCCTAACGGAAGGAAGCAGTCGGCAGGCGCCCTGCACCACGACTCCCAGCATGCTCCGTGCAGGCGGAGCCTCTGTGCGTGGCGGCCCTGCGCGCTGCCTGCTGGGAGCTGTAGTGGCGGCAGTTCGTGGGCGGGAAGGAGGGCTAAGTCCGTTGAAGGCGAGTGGGTGAGACCGCTGGTTCTCGTTTTGGCTCTCTGAGCGCCTCTCCTCTGCACGGAAAAAGAAAACGCTCTTGAAGACGACCAGGAGGCCCCTTGCTAGAAAGTGAAGTCGAGCGTGTAGAAAACAGGGCGTGTCCGTCTGCCGCGTGATTCCTCCACCCTCTACTGGCGGCGCCGAGTTCTCCCTCGTGTCCCAAGGCGAGGCAGCCTGTCCTTCCCGAATTCGCTCCAGGAATGCAAAGTCAGACAAGGAAACACAACTCGTTTAACTGCAAGTGCGTCTTAGGGGCACATGGAATCAGGCTAGAAATGAAAGTCCCATTCTACTGCCTGGAATCCATTTGCTGGAGTCTGTATTTCAGTTTAATTCGTGACATACCCACACCAAAACAGTTGTCACGTTCTCAGATTAGAGATCAGCTCCATCTGCTTCCGTTTTGATAGCCTGCAGTAGACTGAACCAAATGTGAAATATCCCGGCAGCAAGGTTGCTGACAAATCTTCAACCGCTTGCCAAGATATTTAGGGGCAGAAAATGTAACAAATGAATGTCCTGTAAATAAACCTGTTATTGTATTTTATAGTACTGCTTGAATTTAAATCCCTAGGAAGCACCAGGAAGCAAAGGTCATATTGATGCAACTGCCACCAAGTTGCAGCCCACAATGCTTAGAAAATAAATGACACAAATGAAGTAGTAATTAGGCAAAGTCCATGCTTTCGTGTGCAATCCAGGTATCAGAGCCCATCCAGGACTACTTCTCTAGAAAATTAGCATTCTCAGAAGATGGTGCCACACGGAAGGAATGTCTCTTCAGTCTGGAAAAAAGAGCTTAAGTTTAAAAAGCAAATTTACTTTAAATTCTTTTTATTCAAGAAATTTACCTTGAGATGTCAGTTTATTGTTAAAGGAGGGCTTGTGGTGTTCACCTCTGATCCCAGCTACTCAGGAGGCAGAGATCAGGAAGATCTTGGTTCTAGACCAACTTGGGCAAAAAGACCCCATGTTGACAAATAAGTGGGATGTGGTGGTACACAGCTGTATTCCCAGCTATGCAGGAAGCATAGGTAGGAGAATCAAGGTCAGAGGCCAGTGCAAAAAACGTTGAGCCTCTATCCGAAAAATAGCCTAAAACTAATGGGGCTGCTCGAGTGGTAGAGCACCTGTGTAGCAAGTGCAAGGCCCTGAGCTCAGTCCCCAGTACTGATTATGTATCTATAGTACACTTAGTGAGAGGGGTTCAAGGTTATTCTTTTTTTTTTCTTAAAAGGTTGCAATTGATAATAAGCCTCGTGGGATAGTGAGCCTCCTATACTTAGTTGTGATCTGACAACCCTAAAATTCCTCACTACAACTTTTTGCCTGCCTAAGAACTCTTTCATAGGCAAGCTAACCTTGGTTACACTGGCCTGTTCAGAACTGGATAGGTAACCTCCCATGCCAAGAAAGCATTTGGGAATTGTCAGTGTGAAAATGGCCAATTAACAGTATAGTGTGAAGTTGAAGTTCCTGGTCACTGTCCTGTGGGTCAATCGGTGTCCATTCGAATTCACTGTGATTTCATGGAAAGTCAGAATTGCATGGATTACAGTTTTCAGTCTATATCATTAAGAAATTTCTGCCCATTTGGGTCATTTACCATTAGATTCACCTGTTTCTCCTCAACACTGCTCCAAAAAATCATGTAGGTATACCCTTAAACTCGGTAAGAACGAATATTCTAAGAATGTATGAAACCTCTTGGGATTAATCTCCCTATTACTATTTTAGTCCATTAACAATGACTCAGTGTCCTGAATCATCTACCCTTCACCAAGGAGTGCACTTTCTAGCAGTTTGTATTCAGTACAAAGAACTTCACGAACATCATCACATACTACTCAACAACTTTACAACAGTTGGCAAGTATTACTTTTGTTTTAAAACATGGAAATGAAAACATGTAAGAGCATTCACATCAGTTACAGAGCTGAACTATGGGGGATGTTGCCCAGTTTTACATTCTGTGTATTTTTGCTCCTCCCAATGCTACCATAAAAATGACACCCACAATGATCAACACTTTAAAATGTATTTGACTTTCATTTTGGTTAGCAGTTAAACTAGGAATGGTGTAATATGGCGCTAATGTTCATTGTATTTTCTCTTTTTAGATTGATTAATGCAACACCAAAAAGCCTCTTAAAGGACTAACAAATACACACACACACACACACACACACACACACTCTTAGGCATATTTTTCTAAGTGATATGGAGGCCTAAAATATTATTGCAACTTACTCAAATCACTAATAGTATTCAACTCTGGACAGATTATCTTTTGTGGGTTTACCAACATATTTTTAAGTTTCCAGTAGAGATAATACCAAAGCATTACCACTTAGCCAGGTGTGCTGGTAAACACCTATAATTTCAGCACTTGGGAGGCTAAGACAGGAGGATCTCGAGTTTGAGTCCAACCTGGGCTGCATAGTAAGTCCCTGTCTCAAAAAAAAAAAAGAGAGAGAACAAGAAAAAAGAAAGTATACCCATCTTCTCCATAGTTAGATCAGTTAAACTTTGCTATAGAAGTGCTTTATAAGTGATTTTCCTTACGAGAAATCCCCTAAATAATTCAAGTCAGGGAACATTTAAATAAGTTTGCTTCCAATAAATACTGAAGCAGCAATAAAGTATTGTCAATAAAAGTATTGGCTTTGGATCTGAACTCCTGGGTTTAAGTCATGGTTTCCACTATGTGATCTTAGCAACTTACTTCACCTCTCTATGCTTTTCTTATGTGTTTAAAATGAGGAAAATAATGCCTATCTCCTAGGTTTGTTACTAGAACTAAATGAGTTACTACATACGAACAGCTTGGAATAATACCTGGATCCAATACTGTTACCTCATAGTATTAGGTTTTAAATTATTGCTGTGTGCCTGGCACTGTGCTAGGTGCTGGTGACTAGTGCTGAGACCCGGTTCCTACTGCTAAGACCTGGTTCCTGTCCTTCTAGGCTTATATTCAAACCAGGAGACAAATGTGGAGTAATTAACTATACAGTTATTTTATTTGAATTGAGGTAAACATAAGGAGCAAGAAGTCTAGGGTAGTGTGAGAGTGGCCAGTATTGCAGGTTTGGAGAAAATCTCCTCTAGAAAGTGATAAGTATATTCTGAAGGATGACTAGACATTCCAGGCAAGAGCACAGGGACTTGAGGTTTTCTCAACAGCATTCCAATGCCCACTTCCTGGATACCAAGAGGCAATTAGGTGTTGCAGGGACAACAGAAGCTGTGACTCAAGAAGCAGTGGCCCAGCTTCCTGATCCCTGGATCAAAGGTAAGGGGTGTGTCTTAAAGTCCCAGTTCCAGAGCAGCCTGGAAGGTGGGAGGTGCCCTAGTAGAGCAGCTTAGTCTTGTCCTGAGAGCCTAGTTTACATCCTGTTCCTCCAGCCCTCCCAACAATTTTGTGAGCACCTACTTCCCATCATTATATCTGAATGGTACAGAGAGTAAATTGTTAGGGACCCAACAGTGCTAACTTGTCCCACCACAAGGACAGGACTGAAAGCATTCACTTGCAGAGTGACAGGGACACTGAAGGTGAAAATGAATGAAACTGAGTCATGGCCCACAGGGAGCTCTTTATGAAACAGATTCAGGTGGTAGTGACAATTAGCTGAAATATGAACAAGGTCAGAAGAATTACAGGGATGCAATACTGTGTAATTGTGGAAGTGTTGGCGTATTTATTGTAGCATATTTGTCAGACTTCTGTGAGGGCTATAGAGTCCAAGAGAAGGTAGACGGAAGTGTCACCAAGTAAAATCAAGGCTGGAAAAGAAGATGTGGGAGAAAATTTATCCTGAGGACTTTTCTTGGTATGACCAGGTAAAGAAGTTAAAAGTGTAAATTAATAATCTTCATTTAAAAAATAATTTGAAGAATGTATGTTCTCTTTATTAATCTTTTCTACTGCAAAAACAATGTGTACTTATGGTAAAAAGTCACACAATCCAAAGACATATAAATAAGAATTCCTCTACAACTCCTGCTTCCCACTCTACCAGTGTAGCCAATGTCAACTGCCAGGTTATGTGTCATTCCCCAACCTTATCCATACCTGTGAAAACATAGCTTTTGTTGTTATTGCTATTGTTTACAAGAATTCCAACACATCGTTGCAATGCACAGTTGTTTGCTTTTTGTTTTTGTTTTTCTCAGTACTGGGGTTTGAACTCAAGGCCTACCACTTTAGCCATACCTCCAGCCTAGTTGCTTTTTTTTCTTTAACCTAACAGTATGTTAGAGCTATCTGACATGGTCCATTGGCATAGATACAACTTAAGTTTTTTAACAACTGAATCCATAGAATAGATTACCTTACTGAGGAGCCATTAGTTCCCTTATAGATGAACATGTAAAGTGATACAGGGTTTTTGGGGTTTTTTTTTTTTTTTACAACAAATAGTACTCCAATAAAGGTCCTTATGCACTTATCTTTACTATAGAATGCTTTAATTTCCACAGGAAGAATCCCAGTGGTAAGACCCTGGATCAAGAATATTTTCTATTTC